TTTTGTTTTGTTTGATGCTAAAAGTATGCAGAAGAAGGAGAAGAAACTCAGAAAATCGTAGTCAAATTCTGAGCAGAATAGTGTTGTATTTATAGCCAAAGTTGGGCTGAAATCTGAAGAGGTGCAACTCTTCAGAATGGCTGTTTATGCAAAATGCCCACAACATAAATGCCATTACATAAATGGCCATTTACTCAACAATAAAGAGGGAAAATAAAGAGGGAAAATTGAAGAGGGTAGTTACTTTTCTGTTACCAAAACAGAAAAACGGATTGGATTTAATATTAATATTTAATATTAATATTTTGTTATTAAAACAAATATTTGATAACATTTCTGTTAATATTTTACTATTAACATAAATTTGTCCAAAAAGTTAATCAATCAATCATTTGACCAAATCCGAAGCTGAAGCCGAAGCCGAAGCCGAGCCGAGCGAGCGACGACGGCGGCGGCGCGAGGCTTGCCTTCTTCTCAACTCTTTAAGAGCTAGAAGAAGAGCAATTGCTTATATACTCATAAAAAACCTCTTCCTCTTCCAATATGGGACAATGCCCATTTGCTAAGGTGAACTTAAAATTTCACTCAAAAATTTCATTTCCCTCCATTTCCCATTCACCCTCTTTTAAGTATTTAATATATTAATTAAATACATCCAAAACCCAACAAAGCTAACGCAAGCTCCTGCTTGATTGCAGTATCGCTTTGGAGATGCTCGTTTCTTGAAATCTATACACTAGAGATTCAGTACAGTCGTACCAAAAACAAAGGCTGTTTCCTTAAATACTGCTTCTGTTGCAACGATTCAGGGAGGAAAGAAACAATCCAGATTGTCAAGCAAAAACTGGCACCTAGAGAACCAAATCCTGATGCCAATTTCCCAAGCAAGAAGTTTTGGCGGCAAAACAGGATAATAATAAAGATAATTTGCAACAAATATGCAGAGCAATTACATCATACCCGGCAACTGACATCAGCACTACAGGTTTCTCATGCCCGTAAAGTGTTGCCTTTAAAGCTTGTTGGCCGCGCTTACCACTAGAATCAAGGGACCATAATCGAACAGTTCCATCTAAACCACCGCTTGCAAGTATATTACTAGGACAATCACCCAACAATTTGTCTGAAAGTGTGGAAACTGGACCATTATGGCCTCTGAAACATCGCTGACAACGCCCCTAAAAATGAATCCCACAGGCAAAACTGAGAAAATGACGGGCAACATAGTTATTTAAAGAGATTGGATACCCATATACAGAATCTTAAACGAACATAACCAGAAACTGATGCATGCTCATATGCATAGAACATGACATTCACCGAATTGGCATATTCTCTAGGTACCAAAGCATCATGAGAATTTAGGCTGTCGTTGCATTCAAAATAATGTGCAGAATTCAACGGTTCCACTAATGGGAATCAGTATCATAAAGTAAACATAATTTTGCGCGAAAAGAAAATGTGCAAAACTTCAATAGTTCAACTGATGGGAATCTGCATCATAATGTAAACACACTTTAGCACAAAATCCTTATAGGCTATGGAGCAGCCATGATGCATCAGAAGAATTTCTTTTGCAATAGGAAAGTGATATTCAGCAAAGAATATTGAGTAAAACAGCAAGTATGACAACTCCATGATATGGTGAAAACAATACTTAAAATTAATAATAATAAGTTTTAAGAGATTCAACTAAAAGAATTTGCAGATTAAAACGTCACTGACAGGACAAGATTTGATTACGAGTTTCATAAGCTCATTAGGTTCAATAACTCATGAGACCCAGGACAAACACAAGTATTCACGCAAACATTAAAGGAACTAAAAGTCATCTTGAGTTATTTAGACTACCTTCCACCATAGCCGAATTGAATGGTCAAAGCTTGAGGTTACCAAAAGATTGTCATTTTTCTGCATCTTGCTACTATACAGGCATGTCTCTTCAAATGGAATTAATCTGCAGTTAGTAGGATTATGGCTATTTCTACACACATTAAAAAGAAATATCAAAACTAAGACATAACATAATTGTAAGGGAAGCAAACAAGTACTGAATCAGCTAATCCCGAACTTGTTCAGTTACATCCTTCAAGTCTATCTTGGATGAAGTGTGAAGCCCATAACATTCTCCAAAGATGTTCACTTTGTAGCTTCCTAAGAACATTTCCCATCTTGAAGCAGAGATGAGTTCAACATATCCATCTACTTTGCTTCTTAATTTCACAGTGCTAACTCTCAAATCTCACTTGGACCACAGAAAAAGAAAATGTAAAGCAACTCTAACCTCATAGAAGTAATTCTGGCGGTGTGATCACTAAGTGTGACGTATGGATCACTTCCATCCAGAAAATTGTCAATGTTCACTATATGGATTGAAGAGCCCTGCATACAAGTTATTAACAAAAATCATGTAATAAATATGGTTGAATATCCTATCAACTCGACTCCAGAAAATAAGGATTACAACTACCGGTCTAAGGTCCACATTGCAATTGATGGAAAATATCTAAGATAACGTAGTCAAGTAATAGCTAATGGTAACCCTCTCACACAACCACCAAGATGCACTTTGTAAGCACTTTTGAGTTCTATGACAGGAATAGCTAATTGTACTGTAACAGGAATTTGAAGAAATGGTAGACATTATACCTGAGAAAATATGATATTGTCTTTGTCAAGATACAGATTTTCAGGAGGTTTTGCCTCAGTAGCAAACTCTACAACAATAGGGTCAATGAACTTGAATTGCAGCACATCACTACGCCTGGCAAGGTATGCTTCCCTGGCAGTTGATGTATGAGGAAAGCTAGAAGGTACTATTGGAGACCACCGCTGTCTGAAGAACATGAGCTTAGTACTAATCTCTAAGAAACTGGAAAGCAATGAAATACTGGAAGCAGAGAAGATAATCCGTTGATAACAGACCAAACAGTCGCAATTTCCAGTCATAGCTACTTTAAAAATATTTTCGAGAGTCCTTTTCAAAACTAGCTTCCTTAAAATAAAAAGGTCTATTTCTAGATATTGTTTAGCTTCCAATGCAAACTACTTTTGTGTTAATTATTCAGAAACCACGATTACCAATAAGAAGAACTCTCTTTTTGATCAGTACTCAGAAAATAAATTTGGCAAATATGTAAGAGGATATATGATTTAAGATACCGATGCCCTAAGCAGTTAAAAGTTGCTCCACATCACCAAAGTTTAGCAGTAGCTTTAATTTTCAATTCAGTTTTTGAGTTAAACAATAAAAACTGCCTACTCGAAAGAGTTAAATAGTGCTGATTTCTCTTCAATTAGATGGACGATAGTGCTGCCAGGCTCATTTACATTTACACCGCAGATTCGCTCGCAGATAGAGATGCATAATTGCTACCAATATTATAAAAGATTGTATCTTTATCCAGCCGCTATCAAATTAATAAACAAGTGTTTAATTAGAAGAAAGACAGAAAGTATAACCTGAAAAGGGATTGCCAAATAGAGTCAGAATAGGCAGCTCTTTGAAGGTATTTACAAGATATAGCCATGTTTGACAGGTCTTGAAGATTCAAGTAAGTTGCACACTGAACCAATGCGTCCATGTCGAGGTCTGTTATGCTTGTCGAGTTATTTTGAGTCGCCGGTGAAGTGTCCCCCATTTTTGGATTCTCTCTATTCAGACCCTCAAAAAATTCACAAATGAATAGCGAACTGTCAACTGTGTGAGAAAGTTCTAGAATTGTTAAATGGAAGGGAAGAGCTATTTTGAAAAGGAAGCTGATATGTGACGGAAATGTAATTCAATAACGGTTCCCAAATGTTACTGCGAATTTTTTGTATTATCTTATTTTAATTCACTTCTAAAATCAAGGAAAATTCTATAACTTATATATTACTACAAAGTATTAGGACAACAAAATTACATACCAAATTATATTTACATCTATGTACAGTTATATACATGTACAACAAATGACAATTGTAAAGAATATCACCAAAATCAAATTCTAAAAGTTAGATAACAAAATATAAGTATTTATTTGCTTTCAAAACAATGTAATGTATTTATATTAAAGCTTGACCTACTAATTTGGAAAGTAAAGCAATCTCAACCAAAAGAATATTTGAAAAATAACGAAGGTTAAAAATTAGATGTATACGTTATGTATTATTTTACAGAATTTTCACAACTTACTGTTCGACCAAAAAAATTTATACTTTTTACTGAATTAATTAAATGAGAAGATTTAAAGTAAATCCTAGCCAAAGATAATATACCCTAGATATTAGATAGAAGATAAGAATAAGCAAACATAAGATTTAACTATATATAACAAAGTTAAAATCCCTTTATGTAAGAAGAGGATGGTGATTTTCATAACATTAAATAATAGTGAAAAAGACAAATATATAAAGGGTCACTGATCTTTAACAAGGTTGAACCCCACGCTTTTGATATGATGAGACTAACGATGTACATTTAAGATCTCAGCTTCCTTGCTTTTTTCTCCCTCATGGGGAGAGAGAGATGAGGATCCTTCTTGTTCTCGGAAAATATGTCTGTCTGTGTCAATTTGTACCCCCCCCCCCCTCCCCACCCACCCACCCACCTCTTTCTTCTTCTTCTCACTTAGTTTATATACTAGATATTCTCCTTTACCCAAAGGTCATTAACCATAGTACCTAAGTCGTTTGACTGTATTACTGGTTGACTCTCCGAAATGCCATAACATCCAATTCGTCGTTCAAGCATTCTGAATACACGAGCCGATGTGCGTGTCGATGTAGCGTTGTTTGGATACGACTTTGACCCAAATGACTTTTTGTCATTCCTTTTCATGCAGATTCTCGTCCGGTCAAATTTTGACCCATACACTTACAAAATCAAATTCATAAAATTGTTACATAATTGTGTATTTACTTTAATATTTTTCTAAGATAATATCTTTAACTTTTGTTTCCGGCCAAATAATATAAATTGAACAGAGTAATTAATTTTGACTTCTTACACGGCATTATGTTTTTTCAGTCCCAAAAAAAGAAAAAAAAAGAATTGAGTTTTTGACCAGCTTCGCAGTTGCACTCTTCAATCCTTCACTCCCAATTCTGTAAGTCAACGCGCATCACATTTTGCTCAAACCCCAAACCCTATCCCCACCGGGATCCTACAACTCCGACAACATGCCCCCGACCACCGTCATCGCCGCCGTCCTCCTCCTCCTCCAATTCATAATCACCGCCACCATCTCCGCCCCAATCGTGGGACTAGACTCCTTCCTCGCTCAACAATCCCGGGTTGACCCGACTGCCACAAACGATTCATTCCTCTCCCTTCCTTCTTCCCTCAAAAAACACCTCGCCCACCCCTCCTTAAACAACCCAACCACCCCTTCTTCCCTCCTCTCGTTCCAACTCTCCGTCCCCATCACCGTCAAGCTCGTCGGCTCCAATTTCTCGTCCTCTTCCAAATCTCAGCTCTCTTCATTTCTCAGCTCCGCAATTTCTTCCGATCAGTTCCACGTCATCACCCCTTTCTCTTATCAATCTCATCATCTCTCCATTTCCCATTCCCTTCACCTTGACGTGTCACATTCTTCTAATTCCCTTTCTTCACGTTTATCTGAAACCCTCAAAACTCACCTCTCCACTGTCCCTTCATCTTTCAGATCCGTGCTCGCCTCCGTCCCGCACGAGATCATCGATGAAATAATTAAACAGGACTATGAAAAAGAGAAACCAATTAATGGGATTTACATTTATATTCTCAATTTGGGCTCCCAGTCAAAACCCTATGCTTACAGCTACACTCCTGGAGAACCGTCCCCGGCTTTCACCAAGTGTTTGGGCACTGTATGGACCGGAAAAGATCGGTATTTATGGATTGATTTGGGGGCTGGCCCGGTTGATTATGGGCCTGCGTTGTCCGGCGATGGTGTGCTGCCACGTGGCGAGTTTCATCCGTTTGCTTCGTTGCACGGCCGCCCCAAGTCCCAAAAGGCACTACTTTCGGATTTGGCATCGTTGGTTTGGAGTGCTTATCAGGTTCTTCTTGTGCCGTCTTTGCGAATCCCTGTCCCGTTTGAGAATTCGTTAATTGTTGAATTTATACATATACATAGTAATTCGGATAATAAGGATAGTTTTGGGTTAGATTGGAAGTTGATAGAGAGGAATTTCATGGATGAAGTAAATGAAAATGGGTTGTTGTTTGGTGATCAATCTTTGAGATTTAAGAAGTATGAGGTGAATTTAGCAGAGTGTCCTATTTGTTCTTTTGCCATTTCGAGGGCTGCTACATCGTATACTTCTAGGTACTTGTTTGATAATTATACTCTGATTGTCAGTGAGTACCTGGACTCGAAGCGTTTACACCAGACATTGTCTGAATCGGCTGAGGAGTTTAGGAAGGTTGCTAAGCTTCCTGAGGAGGACTTTGCTGGAAGGATTCTTCCGGTTTATGTTTTTGATTTGGACGTTAATACGATTCTGTTGCTTGATCGTTATCATCAGTCCGTGGCCTTTAAGGATATGGTTATTGCAGTCAGGACGAAGAGTACGCAGACTGTGAGTGATTATAGCTGTAATGGGCGTCATGTGTTTACACAGACTCGCGAGTTGGAGAGACCCCTTGTAGGTTCCATCTTACAGAGCATGTGGGGTGTTTCCCCGACACATATGGTATGGAGCCCAAGACACAACAGTACTCTAGTTGACTATACGTGGAGCGTTGGGCAGACACCATTTGGCCCATTTTCAGAGGTTTCTTCCTTGTCGTTTGTCCAGAAGGATGCTGCGAGGAGAAATGTGTTGTTGACATCGTTGAACTATAGTATTACTAGTGCTCTTGAAGTTCTTGGATCCATTGCTGCACATGGAGGGGAGAGAAAGCTTCTGAAGCATAATCAGCTTACTGAGTTCATGCAGCGGTGGAACTTGTTCAAGTACAAGCTAGACAAGGCAGTTTCAGCGTTATCACATTTTGACTTCGAAAAGGCTCTGTATTACATGAGGTCTTCGGATCATGATATTTATGCCATTCATTCTCTTGTTTACCATGCTTCACAAGAGCTGGAAGCGTCGCTAGACTGTTTCAAGGACCCACCATTTCCCTGGGCGTCAGTTTCTATGACTGCTGGAGTTATAATTTTCCTTCTGTATGTTTGGGTAAAAAGAGATAAGTTCTTCTCCAACAAGCGAAAACAATTTTGACATTTTTTCAAGCGCTGGAGTTTGTAAGATCTGAGTTGATACAACACCCGTATCTATGAGTAGCATGCTGGCTGTAAGCTCTGAAATTAGAATTTGTTTTGTTAAGAAAAGGTACTGCAGTTTAAATTAGCACAGAACATCTTGATTATTGTGTGGATTTTCTTAGGAGTGTCAGGATCATGCTTGCCAATTGGATCATAGGAGCTTTTTGGTCTAACGTCCTATGGATGTTCATTGAAGAGTTAATAGATTATAAACTCATCATCTAACTTTTAGCTTATCAAAAAAAAAAACTTAATTGTCAACTTACTCCCATGTGTAATTGATTTTCCGACAAGGAAGAGTTTTAATTTTTTTCATGTGAATTAGCTCCAACAATGGGTTAGGAATAGAAAAGATCACTAAATTGAATAAGAGAGAAATTATATGCTGGAGTTGATGATCAGTATTTTGATCTGTTGTGAACTATGTCTATATTATGGAAAATGATTTATCATAGACTATCAATTTCTTAACATACTATTGCTCTATCAAAAATCTCTAGTGATAATTCTTAGATTCTCTCTTTTTTATAGAAATGATTATTTGCAGATCGTTGATAACTTGATAGGCAGAATGGCCTAAATGGCACCTATACTTATGTCATTTTATCATGACGGTCCTCCTACTTCACTTTTTTTCATCCAGACATTTTAACTTGTTCAAAATCTATATTTTAAACCCCTCTGACCGTTGACCAAGCACATGTGGCAAAATAATGGTTGAGCTGGACAAAGTGGGTGTAATTCACGCGGATAATGAGTGTGAATATGAACATTTTGCACCAGAAATAATTAAACTAAGAAGAAAAAATCATTAAAATAAGAATGAAAAATAAATAAGTAAAAAAAGAAAAGAAAAAAGCAAAAGAGATATGTCTCCTTTCTGTTCCTTCATTTTCGTTTCCCCCACCACCCACCCTCCTGTACGCTTCTTCTTCTTCTTCCCCACTGCCCACTTCCCGTACCCCCCCCTACCCCCCCCCCTACCCTCCTACCACCAAAAAAAACAAAGAAAAACAACCCAATCCCTAAATAATCCCTTACTAAAAATGGCTATTTCTGCTATCAAATACTAATTTTCTTCTGTTTTCATTTAATTTTGACATTTCCTAGTCGTGGAACCCCAACTCAGTAATAGTCAAGTTGGCATGACACACAAGATAAGAATAACAAACACGTGACTGGATCCTACAATGACAAGATTAGTCCTACTACTAATGCAAATACTACGCCTAATGATAATAGGGATAAAAATCATTTGGACTAAACCAATTATATGCTTCTCAAAGTGGAACAACAACGTGACTATTACTCTTAATAATGATAATATGAACACTACTTCCTACAAGGCTAATATATCCCTCCAACTCAACAACACTTATTTCTTGATAATCCTAGCAATGATTATGTGTTGGTTGACACTAAGCAAGTGTCTAGCACGATATCTGAACACTCTTTTGAGTCCTCTAGCCACGAACATGAACACAATTCTAATCCAGAACATACAGAACCCTTGGAACCTTCCTACTCACTTCAATGTATTCCTACCGAAGGACCCCAATCCATTATGATCGAAGGCCCCTGCCAATATATTTCCACTTCTCATACCTTGAGATGCCTAGAACAAACTAGCACAGACTCAAAAACAAAACAGCAACCCAGCCCCCATGGAAATGCAGCCCCCTCCATCACCCAATGCTCAAGAACCAAAAGAAAATGTAATGTAGGAACCAAAGGAGATAACTCCTCCAAACAGGGGTTGAGAATCGAGTTTTCAAACATAAACGAAGTCGAAGTCTCACTCTTCAAGGTGAGGCACGACGTGAGGCAGCTCTTCAGTTGTCCAATAGCACTATATAGGTGCACAATGAACAAAAACACACCACAAGATCCAACAGTAGAAAGTTGGCAATAATCATAATACCATTCCCATGGAGAAACCTATCTTCTCCTACGGGGGAGGAGGGGAGTGTCAACCTACAGAACCCAAATCCCAAGATGAATAGAGCTACAACTATTATCATTTAGAACACTAGGGGTGCTAACAATGACAACTTTGGTAGGAACTTTAGAGATATGATAGACACCCATAGTCCTTGCATGGTTACTTTACTTGAAACTAAGATGGCTACCCACACATCCCTTATTAATGATTTTAATTTTACGGATATGATCGAGGTCCCCGCAGAGGGAAGATCTGGAGGAATGGTTATTCTGTGGGGTCACAATATGGTCACTGTCCAAAACTCTATCAAGCGAGATCAGGAAATTCATGTTATGGTTGAGATACTTCCTAAACGCTACTCTTGGCTTTTTTCTTCCATTTACGCTAGTACTAGTAAGACTAACAGAAATCTACTTTGGAAGAACTTTGGAAATATTTATGATTCCTATAAAGGCCCGTGGTTAGTAGGGGGGATTTTAATGACATGTTAATGGCTAGGAGAAATTTGGTGGTAAACATGTTAGTCTCAATAGGTCGTGCAAATTATGGTCCAGCATAAATTATTGTAACCTCTTTGACTTGGGATCTAAAAGGAGTAAATTCACTTGGTCAAATCATAGGAAAAGGAGGAAAAGTCTAATTATGGAACGATTAGATAGAGTGTTCTGTAATGATAAATGAGCTACTCTTTTTCCTGAAGCCTCAGTTACCCACCTGCCCAAAACCCGCTCAGACCATAGAGCTTTGTTGATCAAGTTGAACTCTATGCCTAATGGGAACTACGAGAAACCTTTTAGGTTAGAGACAATTTGGTGTTCGCATCCTGATTTTATTAATGTGGTTAATTCTAGTTGGAAAGATAATAACCGGTATGATGCGCTGCTCGATCTTTTAGAAACGATATTTTGGAATGGAAAAGAAAAACTTTTGGTGATCTCTTTCACAGAAAAAGAGACTTTTAGCTAGGCTTAATGGTATCCAAAATTCTCCTAAATTTCCTACTAGCAAATTTCTTCAATAATTAGAACAAGATCTAATGTATGACTACAATAATATCCTTAAGTTAGAAGAAGACTACACGAAACTAAGATCTAGAATTCTGTGGATGAATGAGGGTGATGCTAATACCAAATATTTTCATAAAACTGTCGTTAATAGGAGATGAAGAAACCATATTACTTGTCATAAAAATGATGAAGGTCAATAGATTGATGATCACAACTCCTTGAGGGATCACACTTTGAATTACTTTGCGGAGATATTCACAACCTCTCATCTCCAAACAAATTGGTCAAAAATCCTTAATGACCCAGTCTCATTCAATAATCTAGATCTGTCCTCATTAGATTATCCCCTACTGGATAATGAAGTCATTAGAGCTATTTTTTCCTTTAAACCTTTTAAAGCTCCAGGTCCTGATGGCCTACACCCATTCTTCTTTCAAAAATATTAAAAAGTGGTGGGACAATCAGTTCTACAATTTTGCCACAATATTTTCGCTACGCAATCCTTTCCTGAATCTATCAACAATACCTACTTATGTCTCATTCCTAAAATTCATTATGCTAATAACCTAAAAAATTTTAGACCCATAGGCTTATGTAATACTATTTACAAAATTATTACTAAGATCATTTCTAACAGGATCAAGCCCTTTCTAGGTAATATCATTAGTCCATTCCAAGCCAGTATTTTGAAAAAATAAAAGGGCTTGTGACAATGCTATCATTATTCAGAAAATCCTTTCTAAATTCAATCACTTTAAGGGTTCAAAAGCTTTTATGATCCTTAAAATTGATTTAGAAAAAGCTTTTAATCGACTTGAGTGGTCTTTCATTTATCGAACCCTTAGACATTTCAAGTTCTCCCCTAAGATTACAAAGCTGATCATGACCTGTATTACTACAAGTAACATCTTTATCCTAGTAAATGGATCCAAAACTGACTTTTTAATCCTAGCAGAGGCATAAGGCAGGGCAATCCTATGTCTCCGTATATCTTTATACTATTCATGAAAATGTTGTCTAGATACAAGTAGATATTAGGAATTGGGACCCTATAGGCCTCAACAATAGAAGTCCTTCATTTTTCCACATCTTCTTTGCATATGACCTCACCCTTATGGCTAAGGTCAATAATACCTCATGCACTACTATCCTTAGTTGTCTCAATATGTTCTGTGACTAATCATGCCATAAGATAAATTATTCCAAATCCAAAATTATTTTCTCAAAAAATTGTCCAAACGACACTGCCAAGTATATTTCTAAATTGTTCAATATGAGAATCAGTGGCAGCTTTGATAAATATCTTGGCTTTCCTATTTTGCGACAGAAGCCAAAAGCCACTGATTATCAATTCATTCTTGATAACATGCGCAACAGATTATCTAACTGGAAATCAAAGTGTTTAAGTATAGCCGGTAGAACTACTCTTGTCTCCTCGACTCTCAATACTATTCCCAATCATGTCATGCAATATACTCTTCTCCCACAAAGAATTCTGAATGTTATTGATCATATCCAAAGGAATTTTATGTGGGGTAGCACTGAAAGTAATAAGAAACTCCACTTTCTTAGTTGGAAGGTAGTTACTAGTAGTAAATCCAATGGGGGTCTAGGAATCAAGAACACTAAGTCAAAAAATTTGTCCCTCCTTACAGGTCTTACATGGAGACTTCTAAACTTTTCTCATTCTCCTTGGTCCAAGCTCCTTATTGCTAATCATGCTACGAAGGCCAGGAAAGCTAACACTTCTTTTATTTGGAGTGCTATTGTAAAGGGCTGGTACTATTGTAATAAAAGGACCTTTGGACTATCAATGAAAGGTCTGTTATTGACATTTTAAAATCTAGATGGATTCCTAACAATCCTTGTCTAAGACATTCCATTCAATGGCCTCTCAACAGGAGTGATCACAATCTAAAAATTAGAGATCTAAGGAAGAAAAATTTATGAAATTTTTCTAAGTTGTCTTTTGACCTGCCCAGTTGTATTACTGATAACATTATAACCTTAAATCTCCTCCAATATGATGCTACTCCTGACATTCCTATTTGGTCACTTAGTAGCAATGATAAGTTTACTATAAAATCATGTTACACTCTCATTGATGGTCATGAGGAAACTGACAAGGATTTCAGTTGGATTTGGCACCTCAACTGTCGTAACAAGATAAAATTTCTCCTGTGGAGGTGTTTTCACTATAAACTACCATGTAGATCTTATCTTAAGCATATTGGTATGAATATTGACGTTACTTGTCCAATGTGCAAGATTGAGGACGAGACCATTACGCACATTTTCCTTAATTGTCCTATAACTAATACATTCTAGATGAATTTAGGCATTACTCACCTCTCATATAATG